TTCTTGAAAATGAAGTGTTGGGCATGTCGCAAGAATGCCCAGGAGGTCTCAATATATTTCTGCACCGACTGTGGGAACCACGTTTGTGAGGATCACAGTTATTTTGGAAATGACGGCCTCGAGCGATGTGCGCGCTGCAATATTCGGCATGAGCGTGATATCGCTGGACCGCCTCCTCCTCCCCCTCCTGGGGGAGGAGGTGGGCAAGGCGGACCACCCGGTCAAGGTGGGAGCGGAAGCGGTGGTCACGGACATGCTCCATTTCCACCACCAGGTCCCGGACATCCTGGCGGAGGCCAAGGTCCCGCTGGGCCTCCTGGAGGCCCAAGTGGTGGGGCTCCAACCGGGGGATACCCTGGTGGAGCACCTGGGTTCTGTGGTAGTGCTGCTGATGCTCATGGAGCTGGGAACAATCAGTGTGGTTCCAGTTTCTATGGTCCTGCCTACGGAGGTGGCGTTAGCCACCAAGGGGTTGGCGCTGGCGTTAGTCAGCCCAACGATGCTGCAGGTTACCCCTCGAGTGTTGCGAGCGGTGGTAACCTTGGGTCAGGTCTTACCACCGGTACCGGGAGCTCTTCTCGCGGCCGGCGCAGAGGCCTGTCCACGATCAGACGGAGCTCCAGGAGTCCCCCACCTATCGCCGGGACTCTGGACGTCGGCACTAGCTCTACTCCCAGGAGTCCTCCATTCATCACCGGGACTCTGGATGTCGGCATGGGCCCTATTACCCACCTCCTGGATGACGGCCTGGATTTGGAGAGACGTTCCCGCTATCGCGGACCGGCCTGTCCAAACTCGGAGAGATGCTCCCGCTATCGCGGATCGGCCTCTCCCCCCTTGATTGCCGACTCCGGACCTCAGATCCCCTATCGGGGACGACAGCAGGCCTCGGGCTCCTATTCCTATCCACATCCCTATCGGGAGAAACAGAAGTGTCCCCCCTTGCACGCGCACGGGGGCCATCCCTCGCACGCCCTGGCGGTGAATGCGACCTGTCAGGCAACCCCCGAGCCCTCCTGCTCCTGCTATCAGCCCTCTCCCTATCGGGATTCATGGGATGCCTGTCTGCACGAGAAGGATCGACCCTACCGGGCACATCTGGCAAAGCGTGATCAACCAATTCAACACCTCCGCCTGGTCTCACCGGAAGGCCAGTACCCCGACCATTACCCTCTCCGGGAGTGGGCGTCGGAGACCTGATTCTGTGTCCTTGCCCTGCGAAAGCGTCGTATCCGACGTTCCGTCTCTCTCTAGGCTGTGGGGGATTAGCCTGATTGTCCTGGGCACCTTGAATAATGACAGCAGCTTCATCAACATGACCTTCGATTTCATAGAGCTGAGCCATGATCCTGTTGTTCATTCCATTAAGAGTACGCATGTTACTCTCAACAGTGCTGATTCTCCGCATAGCGCCCTCAAGCGTACTCCGGAATGAGTCAATTTCACGCCTAACGGCAGACCGCGCTTGGTCACTATTCGCAGGGAGACTGCGGATCTGTCTTCTGATGTCATCAAGAACTTGATTCAGAATTCCCGAACTCGCCTCGTACTGCTCAACGCGGGATTTCAAGGTTTCAAACCTTGCAAGGACATCGTCATGGTCCCCATGGTGGCGTTGAACTCCACGAGATAGATCCTGGATCTTTCGATTGACTTCGTCAATTGCTTCATGCCAGTCCTGCGGGGATACGGGCCCTGATGATCTATCGATCGCCTGTGAACCCCTTCCACTTTGCAGCCTCGACATCCGATTAGCAAGAATGGTTTGCTCTTCATTTATGCCACCAATAGATTCGGAGGCCCACTTAGCAAACTTCTCGTGTTCGAGGAGAGCCTTCTCGAGCTTCAGGTTCAACTCCCTGAAATTCGCGTTCACCACACTGCTACTGGCCCTATCGGACGGTTGCGCGATAGGATCCAAACTCCATTCACCTGCTGGCGTCCTCATCCCGACGGTTTTCTCTACCGAGAACCTCCGCTTCTCGAGCTTTTCCAAGTCCTTAAGGATCTCATCCTCGGAAGCAGCATGGCTCCTGTGGACAGCCTCACGATTCTCCTGAATCACCTGACGAAGCCGATCAGTCGAGGCCTCATTGTCCTTGACAGATTCGTGAACCTCGTGGGACAGTAGGTTGATCCTCTGCTCCACGACTTCAGCCTGTTCATCGATGGCTTGCCTAACAACGGCTTTGCTGTCGGGAATAACTTCCCTCGCAAACCATTGAACTATCATACGCATCCTCCCGGCATCAGATTGAGTTGCAACCTCAGCTGCCAGGCGATCGACCTTGTCCTTCGTCTGTCGGCTCTCGTCGCTCCATTCCCTTCGCAAGGAACTCACCTGACCGTTCAGTAACCTGATTTGGTCCGCAAAAGTATGAAACGCCTTCGCGACTGAGCCAGAAACCTCACATCTCCTGGATGTGCAACTCAAACATCTCCTTTGCCCTGACGTCACCTGATTCGCCGGAAGACTGGGATCTGAGGGCGGGAGGGGTCGATATCTCGATCCTCTCAGGAGCCCCACTAGCCCCGGCATGTCTTCTAGGGTCGCCTACAGGGCAATCATCAATCCTGGGTGGTCTACTCGGGGTAGACCCCCTTCTCCGGCTATCGCCAGATCGGGGATCAACGTTGGATGCACGAGACTCAGGAGTAGAGTGAATGTGAACATCAGCAGGGTCGGGCATCTCCTCATCCTGCAGAGCCAAACCCATTGGTGAGGGGCTAGCCCTCCTTGCCTTCGACCTATCGGTCTCAATGGCGAGAGGTGACGGCCTTTTCGCAGAAACACTACGTTCCCTGGCGGTCGAGCCCCATTGAGGTGTGAACTCGTTGCTAGACCTCAGCGTTTCAAGATCGCTGGTATCTCGCCCTAACGGGCTGGCGATCGACGGACGATCTTCGATCCCGAGTGCATCGGCAAGCCGACCATCTCTGGCACCTGTCCTAACGACATCGGCAGCCCGCTCAGTGATCCTCGGCGAACCAGTAACCCGGTTCGAGTTCACGTCTCTCTGATTCAACGGACCTCCAAAGGTAATGTTGGGAAAAGGGGGAACATTCGGGGTATCACCAATCGCCGGAGGACCTATCGGTCCCTCACGGTCATGGATGGCCTCCAATCCCCGAAGAACTTCCCGACTATCCCTGGCCCTCTCTCTCTCGCTTCGGACGTCCCTGTCAACACGAAGGTCCCTGGCGGCTCCACGAGAGAGGCTCCTGGGCCTCGCAGCATCACGGATCCTAGCACTTCGGCGTGATTGGTCCTCCTCCTCATCCGCAAAATTGAAATCTTCGCCATCATAGGACTCAGATTTGGCAGTATTAGTGTTGGGCCTACCGGCATCAGATCCCTGCTTTGAGCTACTGCCCCAACCTGCGGTTGATTTCAACAGAGCATCGTATCCGAAGTCTGAGAATTTCCGCTCCTCGTGCTCATCAAACTGACCTGGATTTTGAGAACCGGTGGATCGACCCGAGATACCTCTCGGAGCCAAAACCATAGTCCCTGGTCCCTGCGGCCTGTCCTCAAACCCATCCGAGACCTGGGATTCACCTGGAACAAGAGATCTCGGGGGTCGGGTCGGCATAGCCTCCGGGTCGTCCGAATGAGGGCGGGCCATGTTCATCGCCATGCTGATGAAGTCGAACTGTCCGCGCCTATGACCTGATTCAGAGCCACTCCTATCGGAGCGAACCCTTCGTGTCTGCTCATCATCGGTGGCCTGGCGGAAAATGCGGTCGTCTCCATCGTCGGTGTACCTGCCACGGCTCCTGGGTGTGTCCCTACCGGGATCTTCACCCCTGCGGTCTTGACCTGCCGAACCTGCTCGTAGTCGTAGTCCGGTAGGTCCTCACCTGAGCGGAGGCCACCTAGGATGGCCTCCTCATCCACGACGCTCCTTCGAGATCGTGGGGTCGACATAGAGCTTGTAGTTGATGGTCTCAAGCGCGTAGGAAAGTCCTACGGCTGATAACCTGTGATTCGGGCACGAGCCTGTGCCCAGGCAATGGGTAAGTTGGGGTAAACAAGCCACAAAAGAAAGGTTCCCCAAAAGCAAACCAATCCCCGGTCCCAAAGATCAGGGTTTCCCACACACCAGAGAACAACAACCAAAGGAAAACAAACCAAACAAGAAAAGGGTTAACCCGCAACCTTGGTCGACAACAGGCCGCACGACTGGTCCCTACCAACCTGGCGGCGGCCCGAGGTCTCTTTCTCCCCCGAGATGCCGTCGGTCGACGCAGGGGTTCGGCGACGCCCATTCGAGGCGCGACGGAGCCCAAAATCTTGAGCCAAAACACCACAGGTCGGTCACTAACGCGACGTTCCTGATGATGATATGAACCATGGCTAATCACATTAAGTCTTGCTTTCAACAACAACCCCGAGCCTACCCATGATGACATCTTTCGAAGCCCCTGCGAGCATGCTCGCAAACTTTCGCGAAGCTGGAAGCTTTCGCGGCCCCATGTTTTCCTTTCAAGCCACCAGGACAACACCTTTACTCAGTTCTTTCACGTTGTTTTGCAGGAACACTGCTCCATTTGAGCTGCTCACTTCAAGGGACCCTGCTATTCTCCCAAACTGGTTGGTGTCCTTTTTCTCCCTTCAACTGCTAAAAGGCCCACCTTTTTGAGAAACACCCAATTGTCCGCACGTCTTATGGTGACCTTCGATCCCTGGCCTTCCAAACCAACTTTTGACTTGGCCACCTGACGACACAACCCATGAAACTCGCACTCACTTGTTCCTTAAAGGAAAACGCCTGCCTTCAAGATTGAGACTAAGCTCGGCCAGGGAGCTCAATTCGGTACGGGTCAAACTGTGGGGATCCCCAAAATGGTTGCCTTCCATTTGTTTTTTATCCAATCCGACCAACAAAGAGGTACCCAACTCAAATGAATCATAGAGTTTTATATACTCCTTACTAGCGAACCTACTCAAACAGCCAAAAAGTTGAATCGGTCTGTCAATTGCCGGTTACCCAAGGCGCCTCCGCGCGGTCCAGAGCCTCCGAGAGCGCCTGCAGCGCAAAGTTCTTCTCCCCAGAGGGCGACACGCCTGGAATTGAGGCAAACGGAGCAAGCAAGTTGGAAGGAACCCCCAAACCGGGGGGGGGGTACCTGCGTACCCGAAGGTAAGAGCCCTCGAACATGTGATAATATCGTGCTTCTGCAGGTTTCATGTTGATGTGCAAAGTAGGCAAACTGCCCGGAGTGAGGCAATGGCCCGAAGAACGACACAAGCTTTGCGGTGCCAAGAACGGTGTGTCCCACGAGCGCACAGAAGCCTGTCAACATCAAGGACTCGCAGCAACGACATGCCAAAAAGACACACAAGACAGCTTCTTAAAAAGAACACCATCGTTGGTTCGTTTAGCACTTCTATCACACGCTTCAAACCCTTATCAGTGAACATAACATGCGCAATCATTCAAGCGCAACTGGGGCATGCCCCGCGAAAAAGAATGCAGCTTCAATGGCGCGCAGTGGCTGTTTGCTTTGAACAGTCAAACCTGGAAACAGCCCGAGGGAGGGCGTCATTGGGTTGGGCAAGAATCTTTCCCAGGCAACTCTTGACTTTCCTATACACCTGACCCTCGGCACATCTATGAGCAACCATAAGCTTACGTGGTGAGTGGACCTTGTTGGGGCAGTGCCCCTATGTATGTGCATGAGTCAAAGCAGACTTGGGCATCCTAATTTCAAGAAGTACTGAGCAAAGAATGGAGTTGAGAACTTTCGAAGGACTAAATTATTCCTGTGGTGTGATTATGGAGGCGATCCAAAGTCCGGGTCGCAAGACTCGCAAGATTGGCATACCGGCGATAGCCCCCGGAACAATTAAGCGGAACCTAGCGCCAAGAGGCGCAGGAATGACGTCGTGAGTGGTCCATGCTGAACGCGTCAAAGGCAATTTTGAGATGTGCCAAGCAACAATCCTTCCCAAGTGAAACCTGGGCTGTAATTGCTCGCAGATTGCAGCCGTAGTGCAGTAACGTAAACTAAAGAGCTATATCCCACACGACTCTGGGCGACTTTTAGTAGTACCAGCAAGTACGAGTAACTAGGAATCGCTGAGAGGGAGAAACTGCCAGGCCTTTGAGGAAAGTTGCTCACCGACCAAGGGCACAACCTCAGCCGCGCCTGGCTGAGCATCGTAGCCCGGCCTCAGTGCGATGTGCAAAAGTTTACGCTGTGAGCAGATCCCCAAAACGTGTCGCCTTGCCAAGGTGGCAAATATATATATATATATATATTATATATATATATATTATGGATTTGTCAATTGGGTGGCTTCCTGTTTGCTTCCCCTTAAACCAAACCAAATAGGGTACCCTCAAAAAAGACACACCCGAAACTATAGCCAAGTAGACTCCTTGCACAAGCGGTCAGCGAAAACATAGAACCAGCTTGACGCCCCAGCCGGCGCCCCCCGCCCCCTCCCCAACCCTCCGCTCTCGGGTTGGAGACTCTCAACAGCCCTGTCTAGAACGATTCTACATTATCCGCCACGGAAAGCAGGATGCCATACTCATGGTGAATCTATGAATTGTCAAGGGGCAAGTCTTCAAACAAACGTCGCTGACGACGACTTAAACGGAGGATTCTCGCCGAGCGGCAGCTGATACTGCTGCACATTCTCGCTGAGAGGTAGTTGGTACTGCTGCATGTTCTCGCCGAGCGGCAGCTGATACTGCTGCATGTTCAGCATCTGCATTTGCTGCAGCATCTGGAGCCTCACTATATAATCGCAATGTGTCATGTATTTGTATGGGCGTGTTTGACAAAGGGCATCTCAAGTTTCAATTATTCAAGGTCGATAAGGTCGTTAAGGTCCCGGGTAGGGCTAGATTTTGGAGGCTCCGGATTCATCCGGTCCTGTCCGGCCCCCTCGGGCAAATTTATACAGCTGGGGAGTGACTGGATTATTCGCACGGTGTGTTTTATTGAGGGGGACTACCTTAAAGGGGGTACCCTTTGTGAGCTTGTTGAACTTTCACTCTTAAGCAAAACTGCAGCAATAAAGTTGCAGTTTCCGAATAGCTCACGTTTCATGATTTTGGAATTGTACCAGGACTTAGCATTGCTTGGTATGTCATGAGCATTGTATCGGCAAGATATTCTGCAAGTAAAACATCCAGTTGCTTTTTGTTCTTGTGGAAGTTGCCAACATGTTGGCTAAATCGGGGGGGGGGTTTGCCCGGACCGGAAGAACCTTGGCACGCGTATTGCAAGTCATCGAGTGATCGAGTGGGTTTCAGTTGGGCCGTAACCACCATCCCTGCCCCCCATCTTCTGTGTTTTGCAGACCATTTACCTTTAGGCAATCAGTTTGTATCGCGTATACATGTTGGCTCCGTTTTCTACCATAGAGTTCAGACTCGCCATAGAAAAAGACCTCGCTGCGCTCGCTCTCAGCACATACTCATACACTGCATTCCCCAGGCCAGGGCTTTCCGGACTGTCAACCATCAGATCATCAAGTTCTCGTTGAGAAACAGATCCAGGGTGATAACCAAAACGCAGGATGCGTGCCACCACCCCCCAACCCACCCCACCCCCCCAACCCGGCACTGTTCAGCCCGGGCTTCCGCCAAAGGCGGCGTATGTTGACTCGTCATGGCTGTCTCCAGATGGGTCAGCCAAAGAAGCAGAAGCCGAGAGCTGAGAAAAAATGAAGCAGCAGGAGGCGACGAAGTGTGCCTCCATCCCCCACCCCACCCCACCCCACCCCACCCCACCCCACCCCACCCCACCCCACCCCACCCCACCCCACCCCACCCCACCCCACCCCACCCCACCCCACCCCACCCCACCCCACCCCACCCCACCCCACCCCACCCCACCCCACCCCACCCCACCCCACCCCACCCCACCCCACCCCACCCCACCCCACCCCACCCCACCCCACCCCACCCCACCCCACCCCACCCCACCCCACCCCACCCCACCCCACCCCACCCCTCATTACGACAGGTGATTGCCAGGGAGGATGTTTTTGAGCACCACCGCCCCCCCCCCCCACCCGGCAGCGTTGAAAGTCCGGGCAAACCCCCCGATGTACCCAACATGTTGTTCTAACCAACAATAACGTGACAGAAATGCGACAGGGCAACAAAGCTCCACCGTCCAGATCAAAGGACATAAACAAAGCTATGTCAAGAAGAAGTCTATGAACACCCACACGTTGCACGAATGTATAATATGTTCCAGGTTTGAGTTCCCCCTCCCCCCCTCCTTATCTGTCATGGTACCCTCCTTTTGGGTTGGTCAGGCTCCTTTTGGGTTGGTCAGGCTCCTTTTGGGTTGGTCAGGGGTTGGTTACGGGTTGGTTGAGGGTTGGTTAGCTGAAAGTGAGTTTGGGCTGGGTTTGGAGTTACTAGCAGCTGAATGGTGCACACTCGGGCTAGCCCTGGATGATCCTGGATGTGTCCGGGGATGGGCTGGCTGTGGCCACCCACATGTGTCAGGACCTGGTGTTTCCACAAGGCTCCACGAAAGACCTTAAATCCAGTTGCAATCTCAGATCCTCACGCCCCGAGAGAATGGAGCCTGAGAGGGACCAGGAACCTTCGTGGTTCGAAACTGTGTGCCAACGGATCCTCTGGCCGTCAGAATCTGTCTGACATGTTTATAGCGACTCCTCTGACTTTGTTCGCGGTACAATGCGGTACAAACTCCAGTCGCAGACTTTCTTGCTGGCTTGCTAGCTTTAATTATTTGCCTAGTAAGCATTAACTTTTGTTTTGCCAAGTGGACGGCACAAGTAATTAAGGCATTGGGTTGGCTGTCTGTCCATTGGCATTGGCGTGGAAACTACCGACATTCTGAGCTTCCGGCTGCAGCTGTTCATACTGCATCTCCGACAACTCCGTTGTCTGTGCCGGCATCTGCCCGGGCATCTGCTGCGCGGGCATTTGCTGCGATGGCATCTGCGACGGCATGGGCTGCGTCCATGGGATTGCCTAAGACGCTGACAAGGCCGAAGATCCCCGCCCTGGAAAGACATGCAGCGCAGCAAAACATCTGCGCACGTAGGGAAAAGCCCCTCTGAGATCCTGCCTTGCAGGCATCCAATTGGTTTGATTTCTCCGCCCGCACCGTTGCCAGGCCGTCCAATCCGGGGTTCCCAGTTCGTCTGTGGCTTAAAGTATGTGTCTTCATGTATGTCCTCCAATTATACTTGCGTGGAACAAATCACATCATGTCATCAAGGACTTTTTATCGCGCCAACTCCCTTTTTACAGCAGAATGAAAAGTCTTTTGCACACTGCGAGCCGAATAGTATCTCTTGGTTCCCGGGAACTGTAGCCTGTTTCTAGTTCGGGTCGGCACACCCGTTGACGAGGCACTTGCATGAGTGTAGTTGAAGCTATATCACTTGGGCCCAATCGGGCAAAGCATCTGAGGCCAACTTCCTTCCTCTCACAAGTACCGTGAATAATCTGGGATGCTGCAAACAGGAAGCCGCAAGTGCAACACGATTGTGCAACTTGCACAAACTAGACATTCACATGGGCAAACAGCGGGGAAACAAACAGGTTAGTCGACACAGCCCAGGCCAAACCCCAGAATTGGGCCATCCCCTTGTTACATGTTTCAGCCCCCATTGCTTAGACAACCTTTTGGTTTCCCGAGGTGAAGGGTGCTGCCAATGACCCTAATCTTCTCCAAGCCACCGGAGGGCCTTGCTCTTGAGGTTCCTGACCCATAGAATTGGCCCCATTTTAGTAAGATATCCCCAAGCATTCCCTCTACATGGTGTACATGGTGGCTTACATGGGTATCCCCCCCACACAAAAAAAAGAAAACAACTTGTTGAGAACCCAAGCTACAACAGCTTTGAGCGACCTAATGAAAAGGGAGCCGACAGGTCACACGGAATGTGTCACGTGAGCGACGGTCTATATGTGCTGTCATCTGTGGCAAAAAGGTTGACATGGGTCAACAAACTATCTGTTGACTGCAGTCAAATGGCACTGGACACACGACATGCGCCTTTCAAAGCTTGAACGCACAACTTGATCCCACACTTGGTGAAGGCGCTGCGTTGACAGTCCGAAACTCCAAGCACGAACATCTGCACGAGGTTGAGTGAAATCATGAACTCCTCCAATGTTTCTGTTCCAAAACCTGAAGCAGGGGATCATCACGCTGTACCCCCAAATATGCCCATCATAAGATAGGCAGACCTCAATAGACCTCATGAGCAGCCTCCTGGACTTGGCTTCCGCAAACCCCCGCGACCACACGGTTCTGGCTGCCTCTGCAGATGCCTCTGGCCACTGAGGTGTCTGCGGCAAGGCGTCCTGCGCCCATATTGCTCAAACAAACTGAGCTTGGGCACCATGTCACATATCTCTTCTGTTTCATCCCACGCTGGACTGCACACATTGGACAATTCCGTGGATGTTACAGTGCTACTCTGCTCATAAAATGAATCAAAAGGAATCTGCAAAAGCAGTAGCCCCTGGCAACATAGGACTCACGCATCAGCACATATCCCCAAATAATGGTTCTGAATATTGTCGAGTCACAGAATTTGCATTTGCTTACAGCTTGGATTCTTCGTCTCCTCCGAATCAGTGAGCTTGATCGGCTAACTCATTGCTGGCGCACTCTTAACAACATGAAACATGTTGGATTGAAAGTACCTGGCCCTGCATTGATTTAGGTCTGTGCTTTGTTGAGGGTGCCATGCATTTGGTGATTCCAAGGCAAAGCAAAAACGATCAGAACGAAAAGCGAAGCATTTTGGGGGAGTCACAGCCCCAGGTTGGCGAACGCCTCCAACTCCTCGTGCACCGGCGTCTCTTGCACCTGCGCGGCAACCCACTTGGGTGTTGTGGGAGGGTACCCCGGGTTGGGTTGAAGCAAAACAAACACCATCCCATTTTGAGTTGTGACACATAGCCACTTTGGTTTAGGGCTCCCTCCTAACTTTTATCTTTGCACCTTGGGGAACCACCTGGTTTGTACAGACTGCGCGGACGTGCTCTCCTCGGCCGGGGGCGCTGCTTATTTAGCTTCCGTGTGAGACAAACTTGCCTGCCAACAGCAACTCCGAGTTTCCATGACGCCCATCGCCTCTGCGTGAGGGGTCTGAGAGCGCTGCTGTCTGACCATGTCCTCGGTTTCTCATCGCAAAAGGAGGTAAACCCGAGCAACGACTGAATCACCTAACGCCAGATCTGGCTCCCTCTCAACACGTTCAGTCAGCGGCGTAATCCTGCTAAGCTGCCGCAAAGGAGGTGGGTGTTGGTGTATCTCGTGGAACATTCAAGTCGTTGGGAATCACCAAGTTCTGCAACTCGCAGTTGACCTGGCAGTACACTCCTGCTATTCAGAAAGCAGGACACCTTGCGCCGCCATGTTGTGTTTGCGCAACTTGCCGACTTGTTCGATTTTGGAATTTGACTGCAAAAAACTTTTGGGCTTGACTGGATCAGCTCCAAAACAGCTTCAGCATGTACCAGGCTGAGGATGGGAGCATATGGCAAGCTAAAGGGGCCTAAATGACTACATGGGACTCTTGTGCTCATGACTTAAGTTGGTTTTGAAGTGCCCCACAACGCAATGAAACCGGCCCCCCTTTGGGCTCCCCGCCCCACAGGTGCAACAGAAGGTAGGGTAGCTGCTTCTTCTTTCCCATTCTTCCATACAGCTACTCTCTATCAATCATTGAAGTGGACATATTGAAGTCCTTCCAAGAGGACTCCAGGTTTCCACAACCCTTCTGGCTTCCGTTGTTGCTGGAAGGGTATGTCAAAGGAAGGGAACGGTGTCTCGAAAGTCGGCGATCTCCAAAACCAGATGCTTTCCTTTTGACGTCCTGTTAAAACCGCCACGGGACCTCAAACAGTTGGCCATGGGTCAAAATCCCGTACCCCCAATAAACATCCCAATCCCCACTAAAATAGGTTCTAAAATGGGTGGTGAATTCACCTACCCCAAAATGGGATCCCATTGGAATTGACAACCACAGCCAGTACACCCCAGTCCCTCGCATTCGCGAGCCGGTCTGCCTCATCGCCGGTCTGCGCCATGCGCACCACGTAGCTGGGCGGAGAAAGGCTATGGTCCACCGCCACGACCGAGCCGATCTGCCCTGCGGATGGTGCAGCCCGGAGAAGACCAATAAGCCAACCACGTTGGTTACAGGGAAACCAAAAGGAAAAGGGTACCATCTTAGACCCTGTTTCGAGAACCACCCGTTTACTGCAGGCAAAACGTGCACATGGGCACTACACGAGTGTCGCGCCTTAGAACTAAAAGCGAGGCTGCGCCTTCTTTTGCCTGTAACTCTCCCCTGCCAGCCTTCATCTACCCGGACTTTGATTGCGACTCAATTAACTTGTGGTATGAACATGGTCATGACAGTTTTTGAGGGCACTATAACCCCATTGATCAGGCGTGAACGCATTGGGATGCGCTGGAGTTTATCCTTGACATCAGGAACCGTTTCGGCCTCTGTTCTCTGGCAAACGTGGACCAGCATTCTGCGAATAGTCGAAAGTGGCTTGGAAGACTTTACCATTGGCCTGTACTTTCGTCTACGTCCGCGGCTGCCTTTGATGATAGATGTTGGTGGCACCTTCATTTACATGCTGATGAACAAAATGTCTGTGGCAAAAGTCAAGGTAAACATCAACGGTTTCTTATCGCTTGGGGGAGTCGAAGCTATACCCTCTGCAGTCGGCATAATGTGAATTGCTGAAGCTGGAGATGTTGGCTCTTTGTGTCTGACTCCTATCTGCCATCGTAGCCAGGCTGCAACAATGACTTTGTCTTGGCACACAGGGCCTGCTTTCTGTTGATGTCCCATTTCACCGCAAAACCGTGCTGCATCTGCTCTGCTTTTTCACCTGCTTGCCTTCAATCGAATCAGAGTATCGCCAAACATGTTCAGGATGGCGATCTCTGTGCACAAAAACGGAGGTTGAGGTGATGTCGGCCAAAGACGATTCAGCAGATCTCGGCTGCCGAGCAAGTCTCTGGTGCATCAAGGGAAACGGGCCAGAGTCATTGCCATTGAACATACAAAAGCTGCTTGAAATTGCAGCACGTGCGAATTAAGGAACATTTCGTAGTGTCCTGTCCAAGCCTGCGCAGCCTCTATGAGGGTTGCAAGCTCACATTTGGAAGGATTCTGCATGAACGTGCACATGTGCACTCGTCTTGTCTGCATTGACTTCGTCAGCTGCAGCCAAGCTACTTTCCACCAAAGCGTTTGGACCACACACAAAAACCCCTACATCATAAATCTCATGCTCGAGGCCGCTCTTTACTGCAGCCTGAATGACGCCCATCACGTCTGGGCGACCAGACTTGACATACGGTGGTAGCGGCTCAGATGCTTTGCCACTGTAATGGATGTTGCGGTTCTGGGGGTAACGGTCAAAATACTGGCCGCAAGCACTGTTGAAGTATTCTCCTCGAATGGCAAATGCTAACCAATTATCCCGGCAAAAGAGTCCAAGTAGCGTTGGGTTTAACTCGACGACGGGCCGCCCGGAAGCATAAAAAAACACGCAGTATAGGCGCATGAATAACATGCCGCACCTGCGAAAACAAATCAAAGACCCTATTGATGACAATGCTGCACTTTTCCCTAAGAACATGCGCGTTTGGCACAACGCTTCGGCAAAATACCCACGCTGCGTCGTAATGTGAACTTCGCTGCGCAGTCTTGCTCTAAACATGCGTTTGGCGCGACGCTCCCTCAAGAGATGTAGCGCGGCCCCTCCGCGGACTGCGTCCTTGTGCACGTTGCTCCAAAATACGCGTCTCGTCTGACTGCGCCCCTGTGCAATTTGCTCCCGAAAAACGCGTTTGGCGCGGCGCCTCCTCAAAAAGCTGATTTAAAAATAAATGTAAAAAAACACGAACCTTCCGAAACTCTTGTCGCAGTCAAAACGCGATGACACGCGCAAAGTTGCACGGCTCTCGCAGAGCATGTCGTGCGAGACTCTCGCATCGAATACAACTTGTTGCGCACACTGCCAACACTTTTAGCGCGAACCCTTGGTCTAACCGAGCCTTAACTCTTACCGTAAGGCTTCTATACTGTAAACACTGTTTGGGGAAAAAGTCCTTCATGAACCAAGGGTATTTGTTCTAAGTTCCTGGAATGTGACATCTCCTGTGGCAAACATCTAGAAACTCAAAATTGATGGACTTGCGGGGACGGCGCTGTGTAAGATAGCTTCGGCGTGCAAGCAGACTCCAATTCATGAACCCACGTGAACTGACTAGTTTGTGAAAGCACCGCTTGAGCAATCCATGTGACAACTCACCAGGCTGTTTGTCACAGAATCCAAACCGGTCCGAAACCAGAACCCTCCGCTGCCCCAACTATGCGCATGTGTACGTGGATGTGATTGTCTTGCTTGCTTGAATGTTTGCGCGCTTGCTTGTTTGTTTCTTTGGTTGGTCTGTGTTTGTTTGCTTGATTGCTTCTTTTTTTGCACGTGTTTGTTTGTTTGTGTGTCTGTTTGCTTTTGTTTCTTTGTCTGTTGGTTTGCCTGTTTGCCTGTTCGTGTTTTTGCGACTGTTTGCCAGCTTGCTTTCGCCTTTGCTTGTTTGCTTGTGTGTTTGTGCGTGTGGGTTCGCGTGTGTTTGTGCTTGTGTTCGTGTTTGTGTTTGGGTTTTACGTTTGTGCGTCTCTGTGTGCGTGTGTGTGTGTGTGTGCGCGTGTGTGTTTGTGTGCATGTGCGTTTGTGTTTGTTCTTGGCGCGTGTTTTGTTGAAGTGTGTATGGGTGTTTGTGTGTTTATTTGTGTTTGTTGGTGTTTGTGGTTTGTTCGTTTGTTTGTTTGTTTCTTCGTTTGATTGTTTGTTTGCTTGTTTGGCTTTTTGTTTGTTCCTCAGATAGCTGAAAGCTATAGGGGTTCTAATTGCGTTATGTCTTGAACGCCTGCCTCTGGCCCGACCCGCCTGCTTGCATATCCGGGCGTTCCGGAAACAAAACAAAACAGGCGAGCCAGTGTAGCAGTGGTGTTACTGCTGCATGGGCTCGCGCGGTACAGTTTACACGCAGCTTTGTTTCCGCGAAGCCTCCACGAAGCCACCACGGACCAACCATCATCATGCTTCACCCACTTCGAAATTTTGAAAGGCCCACGCCTTCAATCTGGAGGCCCAGGTGGTTCTTGTCAATTTGACTGCTGTTTGTTGCCAATTGCATCTTCCGCAGCCATTCGGTTGTTCTGGGGTTGAAAAACAGGCCCCCATCTCAAGAAGCCATCTTTCTTGCTTTTTTTCTCCCCGCGTCGCCATTTGCGAATATGAGAGTGCCAGATCCAGGCATTCTCTCCCCCTCTCCCCCTCCCCCTCCCCCTCCCTCTCCCTCTCCCTCTCTCTCTCTCTCTCTCTCTCTCTCTCTCTCTCTCTCTCTCTCTCTCTCTCTCTCTCTCTCTCTCTCTCTCTCTCTCTCTCTCTCTCTCTCTTTTGCTCCTCTTTCTTTTTCAAGTCTTTCCATTCTGGGATTTGATTGAAAGAACAGGTCCCATGCCAAGACGCTAGGAGCTTCAAGAATTCAAGGAAATCTGGGAGCACAAGGGGCATGCATGTCTTTCTAGCTTTCTTTCTCCACGAGCCACGCAGACAGGCAGCTCAATTCAGCGCACTTAGCTCCGCAATTCCAGGCGTTTTGCATGCATCGGTGTTGCACCAACATGGCGCCTTAGAGCCCTTTTACAGGGGTCTCAAACAGGTCTGAAACAGGCCTGACACAGGGCCCAATGCCAGATCCAGGCATTCTCTCTCTCCCTCTCTGTCTCTCTTTCTTTTGCTTCTCTTTCTTCTCTTCCAGTTCTTTTCATTCTGGAATTTGTTTCAAAAAGCAGGTCCCATGCCAAGACGCCAGGAGTTTCAAGAATTCAAGGAAGTCTGGGGGCCCCGTATGAAACAAGGGGCATTCATCTCTTGCGCGACGTTTCTATTTTTGTTTCTCTCTCCCGAAGCAGCGGAGGTCATGCAGAGCTCTGCGTGCTCAAATCTGATCGACTCGTGGCAAAGAATTGATCAAGTTCCAAGAGAACGCTGCGGCACGTTTCGTTCCAACGCTTTCTCCAGCGCTCCAACTTCGCCTTCGAAACCTTCTCCGGCATACATGACGGATGCGTGCGAGAGTTGGTCAGAGAGTAGACCAGACTCTCGTGCTTTGACGGAGTCCTTGGCGATCGCAAAGCCATGCCGCTCCAACCTTGAACCCCACTTTCCCCTCAGGAGAGGAGACCTGCACGTCCACGCTGTCAGGTGTCAGGAATGCCACCTCTCCTTCATTCACACTCACACCTGTGAGCTGAGATCAAGCCACCGTGCAAGCAAACCGAGCATTACGCCTTTGCCTTGCACGATTGCCATCTGCTTCAGTTCCTGAAGCCCAGTTGTGAGCACTTTTGCTCCACTTGCACCTTGCTCCGGCATGTTCAGGTACGCTTTCCAGAACCTCCAAACCTTTTCTCCCACCTGGATCTGAATCATCTCCTCCGGATTCTTCTTGTTCCCTTATGTGCAGTGGACTGACTGGCGCTACGATCTGCGCAATCTGTGTGTCATTTGTGGAAGGCCCCCAAAAAGTCATGTTTGGCGGCATTCGTGCCACTTCAACGGGCCAGTGTTAAAGTCACCGAGTCTTCACCAGCTCTTTGGAGGTGTTGTTGGAGGTGTTAGTGATGGCGAGGGCGCATTTCTGCGGGGTTGATGGCCGGGTGCTGTTTGGGGTGCTCTTCGGGGGCTGCTGTTGGAGCTGTGGAGTACAAGTGTCGGCATGTTTTTTCGCTATCTGGGGCCTATGCTGGTGTATGTTGTTTGTTTGATTGATTGTTTGTTTGTTTGTTTGCTTGCTTGTTTTTCTCCCTTGTTTGTTTGATTGTTTGTTTGTTTGTTTGTTTGTTTTTGTTTGTTGTTTGTTTGTGTGTGTTTATTTGTTTGTTCGATTGATTGCTTCCTTGCTTGTATGTTTTTGTTTGATTGTTTGTTATTGTTTGTTTTTGATTGCTGTTGATTGGTTGTTTGTTTGCTTGCTTGTGCTTGTTTGATTGTTTGTGTGTGTTTGTTTGTTCGTTTGTTTGTTGTTTGTCTGTTTGTTTGTTTGATTGTTTGT